AATTTTCAATTTTGCTCCACTGACTATTGAAGTTATGTTAATTGCAACACTTGACTTTCAAAAATGTTAATTTAGTACCTTGACTATGCAATTCTTATCAATTTTGGTCACGCCGGCCAAATTACCGGCCAAATGTGACCGGAAAATTTTAACTCATTAAATAAAAGGAGCAAAAACGTCATTTCATGTAATTCAAACCTCCTCTTTTCCAACCTCCTTCTTGCTTCTTCTCCGATCTCATTCTCCTCTTCGCTGCCGGCTTCTAACTCATTAAATCGGATGACTCTTTCCTCGTCAAAGGCGTCCACGACGAGCTCGAGATCACAAGCTCATCATTTTCTTTCTCCTTCTTTGCTTCTTCTTCCGAAAACGCAAGTACAGTCACATGAAAATCGATTCCGTCTGATTCCACATGATTCTTCACTCTGCATGCCTCCGGCGACTGAATTTCCGGCTATATGGGGTTGAGGTGCTTGAGATATGGCTAAACATGGCACCACTGTAATATAATGTAATCCTTTCTAGCCCACTAGCAACAATATAATCAATAATATCTAGACAGACAAACAGACAGAGCAACTCGATCTAAACAACTTACTGTCCATTATTGCACTACAAATTAAACCAAACTAAGATAAAAGTAAAACAACTATATATAATGAATGAATGAATCAATCAATCAATCTTGATAGATGAGAAAAGACGATGCCCGAACATGAAGGTGGTGAGGAAGCTGATGGCTCCCGTGGCGAGCATGATAGCCAGCGCCATCAACAACGGGTAACCCAAGTAGAGAAGCTCTAAAACAGGTCCACTGTGGCTCTTGAGGTCGAAAAATAGGTAGTTTATGGAGTAGAGGAAGATATAGAGTGCCACCGAACCCGACGCAAAGAAGGACTTCCACCACCACCTCCAGTCCTCCACACATAGCTGCATGTAAGTGAGGACCAACAAAACCTCAGCGCACACGAGCACAAGGAGGATGAGGACAATGAAGAGGAACCCAAAGACGTAGTAGACATGTCCTAGCCATATGCTGTACATGATGAAAAAGAGCTCAATGAAGAAAGTCCCGAAGGGGAGTGTTCCTGCTCCTATCACTAGAAACCATGTTGGGAATCTCTGTGCCGGGATTTCCCGAGGGATTTGGTTGGTTTGATGGGGTATTCCAAGTGGGGAACCCAGGCTCAATCAATCCACCCATTAGAGTCAATGACACCGAGATGCAGAACCACAAGAGAAGTAGAATAATGTAAGTGAAGAGCGGGATTGCCCCAGTGCTTTGGCTTCCCCAGAGGAGCAAGTTGAGGATTATGAGTATTGAGAAGGCAATTCCAGAGAAGAAACAATGAACTCTCTATGAAATCGAGAACCACCCCAACATAGCCTGCCACAATCCCCAACAACAGGTAGAATGACAGCATCCATGTGATCAAGCTGCCCCGTGAAGCCGGTGACATGAACCCAAGAGCTGCAAAGAAAATGGTGGCAACAGCCATTCCCAAAATCTGGCACCCATATCCCACCACCATGCACAGAAGCTCCACGCTCTCTGGAGCCCTGAACACATTCCCAACCACTAGTTTCCACCCAGATAGCTCCTCATTCATCTGATCCTGAGCCTCCTTGCATTCCGGAAGTAGAATCAAAGATGGAGAAAGCAAAGGATGAGCTTGTGATCTCGAGATCGTCGTGCACGCCTTTGACAAGGCAAGATTCATCAGATTTAATGAGTTGGAAGCCGGCAGCGAAGAGGAGATGGAGATGGGAGAAGAAGCGAGAAGGAGGTTAGAGAAGAGGAGGTTTGAATTACATGAAATGACGCTTTTGCCCCTTTAATTTAATGAGTTAAAATTTTCCGGTCACATTTAGCCGGCGTGACCAAAATTGATAAGAATTGCATAGTCAAGGTACTAAATTAACATTTTTGAAAGTCAAGTGTTGCAATTAACACAACTTCAATAGTCACTGGACCAAAATTAAAATTTTCTATATATATATATATATATATATATATATATATATACTAGTTTCGATTGGGATAATGCCCAATGTTTTTTTGTTAAATAAGTACTTTAAAGTATATTAAGGCAGGATTATATTGAAATTGTTCATGCATAGATAATTGAAGGTTGAATTTGCGTATTTAAATAGGTAATTCTTCTCCCAAAGGTTGAGTCCCAACCCCAAGGGCCCCCCACACTCCGACCCGACAGAGCATTGTGGGAAGTTGTAAATCACGGTGACTTAATGGTTCAGCAGAAAGGGCCAAATGCTGATACGCACAAGGAATCTGCCCACTTTGGACATAATTCCCGCACTGCCGCCGCTGAGGTTCAAACCTTGGTCTCTTCTCCCAAATACTACCCACTAAACCATTGAGCTAAGCCCGTGCGAGTTAAATAGGTAATTCTAAGTTTACAAATGCAAGATAATATAGTCAAGATTGATTATAATTGTCAATAAAATAATTGTATAGGTATAGTTGAAACCAAATACGGGACATAAGGGAGAACAAATAAAAATTAGGGCATAAAATATTAAATATATACTAATATTGTTTGAGGAGATTCCGACATTAGGATTTGTAGTTAAGTTCTATTAAGACTTTAATATTAGAATTAGATTAATGGTGTAGTTATAATTCTATATTGGACTTTAATATTAGAATTAGACTAACCGTGAATTAACGGAAAAGTTAAATGGATAATCATATAATTAAGGATAAATTAGAAAATCTTAAAAGAAAAAAATTAAAACCTGAACAATATGAACCATTCATTTGATTTACTAATTTGACGGTCATTTTTTCTACCCAATGTTAATAATTGAATAAATTCGCTGGTCAAATCCGCTAGTATAATCCGCTAACACTAACCGCTGATTGTCAAACATTAAAATTTTCTATATATATATATATATATATATATATATATATATATATATATATATATATATATATATATATATATATATATACTAGTTTTTTTACGCGCATTGCGCGATTGGGATAATGCCCAATGTTTTTTTAAATAAGTACTTTAATGTATATAAATGCAAGATTATATTGGAATTGTTCATGCATAGATAATTGAATGTTGAATTTGCGTATTTAAATAGGTAATTCTAAATTTACAAATGCAAGATAATATAGTTAAAATTGATTATAATTTTCAATAAAATAATTGTATAGGTATGGTTGAAACCAAATACGTGACATAAGGGAGAGAAAATAAAAATTAGGGCATAAAATATTAAATATATACTAATATTAAAGAGCTAACTGCTGATTGCCAAACAATGACATTGCGAGGTAGTTCCCACTTCAATTTGTTGTGCGATTAGAATACTATTTTTTGTCAATAAATCCCCCAAGTAGTTAATATGATTGGCTTAATTATTTTTTTTATTTTTTCAAAACAATTATTATTATTATTATTATTATTATTATTATTATTATTATTATTATTATTATTATTATTATTATTATTATTATTAAATATATGTATACCCTTAGGTCATTTTACATGTTAATCTAAACAGCTAATTTTTTTAAATATTTGTTTACCAATCGTTGATATAATTCGCTGGTCAAATCCGCTAATATAATCCGCTAACCGCAGATTGTCAAACAAGGACATTGCGAGATAGTTCTCACTTTAATCTGTTGTGTGATTTGAATACTCTCTTTGTCAACAAATCCTTCAAGTAGTTAATATGATTGGCTTTATTAATTATATATATTTTTTAATTATTTCATGGTATTAATAAAATACTTGGTAAATAAATATATAGCATTATTTTGTATTATAACTTTGATATTTAATTAAAAAAATAGTGCACAATAAAGATAATAGACAATGTAGTGAATATAATCAATTGATGAATTTGAATGTAAAGAATTTTTACATTGGAGAAATATAAAGACAATATAACTAATAAAATTATTTCTCTTAATTAATTTATTGATAATGAATAATTTTTTTTAATAAACACATTGTAGAGATAATGCAGCGAATATAATCAATTGATGAATTTGAATGTAAAGAATAGAGAAAAATAAAGACAATATAACTAATGATAGGGCGAGGGTCTTTAATGTTCGGACTGACTCGTCAGATCATTCTGCTTTGTTTCTAGATTTGGGAGGGGTGGATCATGTGGTGAAGCCCCGGGGTTTCCGGTTTGAGAATGCGTGGTTGCTGGATGGTGGTTGCAGGGAGGTGGTGGAGAGGGAGTGGTCTAATACACCGGGTTTGGCTTTGCAGGCAAGGCTTGGTGTGTGTGGCCGGGGTTTGAGGAGGTGGGGGGGGGGGGATCGCCATCATAAGTACGGGAAACGGGCAGAAGGGATTAAAAAGGAGATGAATATTTTACGGGGTAGACGGGACCCTGCTTCTTTGGCCCGGTTTAGGTAGCTTGATGAGCATTTGAGTGTGGTGCTAGCACAGGAGGAGGTTTTCTGGAGGCAGCGTGCTAAGCAGCACTGGCTTCAGGGGGCTGACAGAAATACTAAGTTCTTTCACAGGTATGCCACGTACCGGAAGAAGAAGAATGTGATTCAGAAACTGAAGGATGGGGGTGGTGTTTGGAGGGAGGGCAGTGCCTTGGATGCAGTAGTCACGGACTATTACAAGCAGATTTTCACCTCGGGGGGAAACCCAGGAATGTTTAATGTTGATACCCTGCAGTCGCGTGTGTCCAGAGAACAGAATGATGATTCGTTGCGCCCCTTTGAGCCGGAGGAGGTGCGAAGTGCCTTGTTTTCTATGGGCAAGGATAAATCTCCGGGACCGGATGGCATGAATCCGGGCTTCTATTAGGCCTTCTGGGATGTCATAGGTAACGATGTTTCTGATTTTGTGCTTAATTGCTTGTCTGAGAAGTCTTTTCCTGCAAATTTGAATGATGCTAATATTGTATTGATCCCAAAGAAATGCTCTCCTGTGTCTGTATCTGATTTAAGGCCGATAGCTTTGTGTAATGTGTTGTATAAAATCATGGCGAAGATGATTGCAAATCGTATGAAACCGCTACTTGAGGGGTTGATTTCTGTTTCGCAAAGTGCTTTTTTGCCAGGTAGGTTGATTTCAGACAATATACTTATTGCGTCTGAGGTTGGCCATTATTTGAGGTGGAAACAGTTGGGGCAGGTGGGGTGGGCGGCCTTGAAGCTTGATATGGCGAAAGCCTATGACAGGATGGAGTGGCCTTTTGTGCAACGGATGATGACTGGATTGGGCTTTGATGATAGATGGGTCCAGTTGGTAATGTTGTGTGTGCAGACAGTGCGGTACAGGGTGCTTGTCAATGGAAAGTCAACGGAGGAAATAGTGCCCACGAGGGGGCTGAGACAGGGGGATCCGTTGTCTCCTTATCTTTTTATAATTTGTGCTGAGGGCTTATCGTTGTTATTGCAGGATTCTCAGGCAAAAGGTCTTTTACATGGGTGCAGAGTAGCAAGAGGGGCTCCGGCTATCTCACATCTGTTCTTTGCAGATGATAGCTTGCTTTTCTTTAAGGCTAATATGCAGGAAGCCCAGGAGGTAAAGAAATGTTTGGGGATTTATGAGGCGTTCTCTGGTCAGGCTGTTAATTTCCAGAAGTCCAGTATTACGTTTAGTCGTAATACACAGGCGGGGGTACGGGACCAAGTGGCAAATGAGTTGGGGGTGGGCCAAGCAGAGGATTTCGGAAAGTATCTGGGTTTACCTTCGGTTGTGGGCCGTAATAGAAGGGCAGTATTTGCGTATGTAGAGCAAAAGTTGAAACAGAGGTTCGGATCATGGAACAAAAAGTTGCTGTCTAAGGCTGGAAAAGAAGTACTCTTAAAGAGTGTAGCGCAGGCAATGCCCACTTACACAATGAGTATTTATTTACTTCCTGTGACTTTGTGTATGGCTCTTGAAAGGTTGATGAACAGGTACTGGTGGGGACAGAGTGGCTCGCAGAATAGTATACACTGGATGTCATGGGATCGAATGTGTGTCCCAAAGAAGTTTGGAGGTATGGGTTTTAAACGAATACGTGAGTTTAATATTGCTCTGTTAGCCAAGCAGGGGTGGCGGTTGTTAACCAGTACGGAGTCCCTTGTGGCTCGTGTGTTCAAAGCCAGGTACTATCCTACATCCTCTTTTTATGAAGCCACAATTGGAGGCAACCCGAGTTATGTGTGGAGGAGTATATTGGCAGGGCAGGCGTTACTAAAGTCTGGTTGCAGGCGTAGGATTGGTAACGGAAGGGCCACGAGAGTGCTTAATCATCCGTGGTTGCCTGATGCTACAGATCCATATGTGGCCTCGACCCATCCAGAACTGGGGCAGGAGCTGCTGGTTTCGGATTTGATTGATAGTACCACGGGTGGATGGAATAATGGTCTGCTAGTTGAGTTGTTTGCCCCACGTGATATTATGTTGATTAAGCAGCTGTCTGTGTGTTTGGATTATGATGATGACTGGTTTTGGGACAGGGATCTGAGGGGTTGCTACTCGGTTAAGGATGGATACAGGAGGATGGGAGAGGTCAATGGCCCGTTTATGCCAGTGTGGAGTAATTTGTGGAGTTTACAGGTCCCCCCTAGATGGAGAATTTTTATGTGGAGAGCATTGTCTAATATTTTGCCCACTCTAGATAATTTGTTGAATAAAAGAGTGGAGATAGTTAATATTTGTCCAGCTTGTGGTATGGATGAGGAAAATATCATGCATGTTTTATGTACTTGCCCTTTTGCATCACAGGTGTGGAATATCTCTCATCTGCTAATCCCTGCTTTTGACAACAGGAATTTCACCCAATGGACTGATCTCTGGCTTGGTTCTACGAGTCCTTACAATGCTGATCAACAAGGGAGGATTTGTGGCATGTTATATGTCATCTGGACTGCTAGAAATGAGGCTGTTTGGGATGGCTTTTTGCCAATGCCATGTGTGGTGGTAAGGAGATTCACAGTGAAGTGGAACTCTTGGACTACTGTTGAACAACAACGTCGAAGCACCCTCAGTGCCCATCAACCCGCCACTACAGCAATGTTAGACGATGGTGTAGTATGTCATGTTGACGCAGGCTTTAATGGACCGGCACAGGCGCCGGCTTTCGGTTTTGTAGTGCACGAGTTAGATGGAACCTTTGTGGCGGCAGGGAATGTCCCGATTATTTGCCCTTATGACCCTCTCCTGGCGGAAGCAATGGCTATGCGTGAGGTCTTATCATGGCTAAGGGAGAATGGATACTCGAGGATTTCTGTGTGTTCCGATAGTCTCGTTTTAGTTTCCAGTCTGAAGCATGCTAGTTCTTTTCGTACTTATTTTGGTAGTGTTTTGTTAGATTGTAATCGTTTGCTGTCTGCTATGGCTAGATCAGTTGTTATTCATGTTCGTAGGAGTGTTTTACAGGATGCCCATGTTATGGCTAAGCATGAAACTGCCTCTATGGCGCGAACTGTCTGGAGGGATTTTCCTCCTTCTTTTCTTGAGCCTGGAATGGCTAATGCATTATAAATTGGTTGGTTTTCAAAAAATAGAGAAAAATAAAGACAATATAACTAATGAAATTATTTCTTATTTAATTTATTGATAATGAATAATTTTTTTGAATACATAAATTGTAGACACATAATTCTAAATTATAGTAATGCATATGCATTTTTTTTTTTTTGTTGTAGCTAGTAAATTATTATTTATACCAACTTTGATTGGGATGGGGTTCGAACCTAAGACCTTTCTTATTGGAATCAATGAGTAAATTAACGGTGAACTAACATAAATTAACGGAAAAGATAATATTTAATGTAAAAGTTAACGGATAATCATATTCATTAAGGATAAATTAGGAAATCTTAAGGAAAAATTAAAATCTGATCAATATGAGCCATTCATTTGATCAAAAAATTTGACCGCCATTTTTTCTACCCATTATAGGCCTAACTCTCTTGGGCTCTTATTAGTATATATATAATATATATATATATATATATATATATATATATATATATATATATATATATATATATATATATAGTAGATATATTAAATCCTTACGAAAAGGAGTTTTCCTAGACAAGGTAATTTAGTTCTCACGTCATTAAAACTTCTTAAATTATCGACAACAAAATTTTAACAAATAATAATTTATTTTTTGAATACTACTAACTCTGTTATAATGTGGTATCTGTTCACAGTGTTGCAAAAATTCTGCCAAGACACCGATTAATCGGCACCTAGGCGCTAGGCTCTAGTCAAACGCCTAGCGTATCACCATAATCGGTGATCTAGGCGGTTGACTGGTGATAGGTTATATACCCCTGGTCCGTGTTAGCGTTTATAGTCGGGTCGGGTCGAACGGTTCGGGTTTTGGCCTATAGGTCGGGGTCAAAGGTGACGGGTCAAACCCGAGATGAGTCAAACCCGAACCGTTCGACCCGACCCGACTATAAACTCTAGCACGGACCAGGGGTATATAACCTATCAGCCGGCTAGGCGGTCGACTATGCCGCCTGGGTCGCCTAGGCGCTGACTAACTAAGCCTTCTATGCGCTTACTAGGTCTCCTAGGCATCGCTTAGGCTGCCTAGGTAGACGATTAGCTATTGTTGTTGTTTTTTTTTTTTTTTTTTTTAATAGGTTGTTTCACTCAAAACGACATCGTTTTGAACGAATAATCCTAATAAATTGCTCAAACTCTAGATGCTTTTAAGTTAATATTTAATATTTTAGTATTAACTATTAAAGTATTAAATAGTTTATCATTATAAAGTTTTAAACAATTAAAAAATTTTAAACAAATTTTTTTAAAAAATTAAAATATACATGGGCGCCTAGGCGTCGATTAATCGCCGCCTAGGGCCTAGGCGCCCCCGAGCATCCAAAGACCGCATAGCGATTTTTTCAATCATGTCTGTTTATAGCTACTTTCTCAATTTACTGTAGCATTAAGAGTCAATACTACCCCAATGATAATTTATTAATATATTTATTATTTAAATTTAAATATTAATATAACAATTCTTACATAAAAATATATTAATCAAATTGTCTCATTTTACTTGTCATACTGACTATTCACCAGCCAAACTAAATATTTCTTATTTGATTATTTTTTATTTGGGTCACACTTGTGCGAGACCGTCTCACAGATCTTTATGTGTGAGACGGTCAGATCGATATTTGAATGTAATACTTATACTAGCAAATGCAATATTAAATTAGCAATAAAATGTTTGATACATATAAGGGAAAACATAATACTTTTGAGGACAAATGCAATAGTTTTATATTTTGATATAAAAGTATTACTTTTTTTTTTCATCAAATTATTATGTTTTCCCTTATAACTAATGTTGCACTTATAAAGAAAAATGTAATACTTTTACAGAGAAAATTTCAATTTTGGTCATATGACTATAGGGGCTTTGTTAATTTCAGCACCTGACTTTCAAAAGTGTCAATTTAGTACCTTGACTATGTAATTTTTATCAAGTTTGGTCACTCGGGTTAAATTGCCGACCAAATTTCACCGAAAAATTTGAACAGTTAAAATAATGAGGATATTTTAGTCATTTCACATCTCTTTCGTTCTTCTCCGACGAATTGATCTTTTCCGGCGGATCCGAGGATGAGGTGGGCTACGATGCTTTCAACATTATCCAAAAAGAGAAGTATTTATTCAACATCAATTTTAGCATAATGTTGATATAGAGAAGTTTTAGAATAAATAGGCACCAACATCAGTTTTAGCATTTCACTTTCTTCTTCGAGCAAGCCTTTTTTTTGGCCGTAAAAGCTTTCAACCGGAATTTTGGCAGGAAATGCGCTGGACGAGCACAAAGAGAAGTGCAGTTCAAAGATTTTTAGGTCTACCGATATCTCAAGCTCCCCTTACACAAACAGTCAGATGTTTTCAACCGGAATTTTGGTCATCTGAACACTAATAAATCGCCAGCGACGGCTTGGACGAATGAGTTTAAGTATGCTTTGGAAGGTGTGCTGTTGCGACGAATTCGCCGGAGAAGAAGGAAGAGATGTGAAATGACTAAAATACCCTCATTATTTTAACTGTTAAAATTTTTCGGTGAAATTTGGCCGGAGTGACCAAAATTGATAAAAATTGCATAGTCAAGGTACTAAATTGACACTTTTGAAAGTCTGGTGCTAAAATTAACAAAGCACATATAGTCATATGACCAAAATTGAAATTTTCTCTACTTTTACATCAAAATGTAAAAGTTTTACATTTATCCTCAAAAGTATTACATTTTCTCATATAAGTAATAAACATTTTATTCCTAATTTAGTATTACATTTGCTAGTATAAGTATTACATTTCATATTGACCCGACTCATCTCATTGACAAGGATTCGTGAGACAGTCTCAAACAGATTCGTTTTTCAACAGATTTTAGATTGTACACAAATACAACAACCATTCACAATTTATATGAATGACTTTTTCACGAGCCATGTATCACAATTTTGACTTCAAAAATTCCAAAATATTGATTTTAAGTATACCAAATTAATTAATTCAATAAATTCAAGGGGTTAGTAGTTTTTGTCTTTTTATTTGAAATGTTTTTATGATTTAATTTTGTTTATGTTTAATCAGGGGCGGGTCCATAATGGGGGCAGCTGCCCCTCCCCCCGGCGCCCCACCCATCCCTTTGTATGTACAGTTTAAACGTGTATGAATATTAGTGCGTGATGATGAAGTATCTATTTATGGAGTCAACCTCTAGACCATTGAGTATATTCCATATGGATTTGTTTGGGCTAGTTGACCTTGTAAGCTTAAGTGGAAGAAAATATACTTTATTGGTAGTAGATCACTACACTAAGTATACTTAGACTCTATTCTTGAAGAAAAAGAATGAGATCGAAAGGCTACTGATCGAGTTGTTAAAGCAGTTGCAAAATGAGAAAGGCACAAGCTAGCATTGTGAATATTCGTTCAGATCAAGGAACTGAGTTTGTTAATCATGTTATTAGATATTTTTGTGGAGAGTTTAGTATTCTTCATCAACTTTCAGCTACAATGATGCCACAACAAAATGGTGTTGCCGAAAAGAGGAACCAAACACTCAAAGAAGCCGCAAGGTCAATTATTGTACTTTTTGGATTGCGTAAGAGATTTTTGGCTGAAGATGTTAACACAACATGTTACACCCAAAATCACTCCATAATTCATAAAGTTTATGGGAAGACACCCTACGAACTATGGAAAAGCAAGAAACCAGTTGTGAGCTACTTCCATATTGTTGGTAGCAAGGGTTTCATTCACAACAATGAAAATTTGAATCTTAAGGCTTTTAACAAGAGAGCAAATGAATGATTATTTCTTAGATATTCAGTAGTCAGCAAAGCCTTACAATTACTAAACAAAAGAACCATGGCGGTAGAAGAATCCATCCGTGTAGTATTTGATGAGGGAAGCATCAACTGAGAGGTAAAAGACTTGTCCGAAAAGCTCAAACAGTTGGAAGTTTGAAGAGGTGATCAGTCAAAACAGAGACCTACATCTGAACAATCAGATCGAAGGGTAGATAACAAAGACATAAACCGAATAGTTGATTCTGAACCATCAGAGAATTTTACCGTTCGACTACCAAATCAGTTACATTTACTCGAACAATCAGAAGAAGTTGAAATTAAACCAAATATTTCTGAAGTAGATGAACATTCTCCTCCAACAAATTTTCAACCAAATTTAAGATGGTTAAGAGACCATCCTCCAAACCAAGTAATTAGATATGTGAGACAAGGACAAAAAAACAAGATAATCCATTCATGAAAGTATGATGGTTTGCTTTCTTTCACAAATTGAACCTAATGTGGTGGAAGAAGCATTAAGAGACCCAGATTGGATCCAAGCCATGCAAGAAGAGCTCCATCAATTCGAAAGAAATGATGTATGGGAGTTAATTCCTAGACCTTCGCTCTAAAATGCAATTGCGACGAAGTGGGTATTTAGGAACAAAATGGATGAAAAAGGAGTCATTGCTAGGAACAAGGCTCGATTGGTTGCTAAAGGATATTGTCAAGAAAAAAGTATAAATTTTGATGAAATCTTCGCTCTAGTGAGAAGATTAGAGGCCATAAGGATTTTCCTAGCATATGTCGCTTACAAGGATTTTAAAGTCTACCAAATGGACGTCAAGGGTGTTTTTCTCAATGACTTATTAGAAGAAGTATATGTTGAGCAACCACTGGGATTTATGGTGAATATGGGTGAGGATAAAGTCTACAAGTTGAAAAAGGCCTTGTATGAATTGAAACAGGCGTCAAGAGTTTGGTATGACACCCTCTCGTGTTTCCTAATCAATTGTGGATTCACAACATGTAAAGTTGACAAAACCCTATTCCGAATCAAGGATGATGACCATATCCTATTAGTGCAAATCTATGTATATGACATCATCTTTGGAAGTACTAACCCTTCACTATGTGAAAAGTTCTCCAAGCTAATGAAAACTAAGTTCGAGATGAGCATGATGAAGAACTTATTTA